ACTCTGCTATGGACCGCCTGTATGATCTTGGGACTCAACCTTCGTGAGCTTCTACTACCTCCTCTGCAAAATGAGGCCACTAGATTGGAAACTTCAGCCATTCCATCCAGCCATCACATCTGATTATTCCTGTACAAGCCATAGCCATTTATATAATTCTGTCCAACCAAGATTAAGCACTTGTTGAATGCTGGGCACCAACCGTTCCTGCCCTGAGAAGAGAGCCAAGGCTTCAACAACAGCAGGCACTCCCAGAGTTTGACTCCAGACACGACTAAGGCCTTTAGCCCACTGTTTGCACTGTTGCTTTGGCAACCTTCCTCTGTCATTTAAAACGTGCTAGTTATGAATAAATTAAAATATTGGTTATCACTGAGATAAGACTTTCACATTTGATTGAGTTTCCAAAGATGGAAGCATCTTCTCCATGTTTGCCAATATCATCCATACTCCGTAGAAATCTGAGAAATAGTAATATTTGTATATTTGTATGATGCTTTTTGGCTTATATTTAACTTTTGTTTACATTGATCCTCATTAAAAGCATGTTGGCTGCCAAGGGAATTACTATTATATCCTTCAATTTTTTCAGGAGAAAACTGAAGTTCCAAGAGTCTGAGTTAGCTGCGAAGACTTTGCAGTAACAAGTGGTAGTGTTAGGAGTTGGTTGGCAATGAGGTAGTCAGGGCCAGGGTCCCCAACAAGAAAACAGGGAGCCAGGACAGCTAAGACAAAACTGCACAAGCATCCTGTTTTATAGCTTAGACAAGACCACAATAGCATTCTGTCTAGGAGCCTCTGTAGAAGTGACTCATGCAAAGTGACTTTTGCATAATTAACCATAAAACATTGGTCACTATCACAAGTTGAGGCAGTTAGTCTCCAGAAGTCAGCCCAAAAGACTATCAGCATGTGAACAATAACTGGATAGGTAGACGGGTGCATGATCAAGCCCTGATTAGCACACCTTAGCAACCAATCCACAGGGGCCCAAACTCAGGATGCTCAAGATAGTTCCACAAAAGAGCTTATAAAACCCCCTAGATCTGAATGCCAAAATGGCAACCCTCTTGGGTCCCCTCCCTCTCTGGGAGCTTTGTGCTCTTGCTCAATAAACTTTGCTTTGCTGCCCACCCATCTTCGTCTGGTCTGCCTCTTCATTCTTCCAAGCAGCGTGACCAAGAACTGTGGTCACCAAGGGAATAAAAATCCTGTAACAGCAGGAGGGTATGAAAGTGCAAGTCTTCACTTTTTCCACCACACAGTTGTGCTTCTATCAAAGTTTTCAACTGTCACTAAGTGAGATAACATACACAAAGTGCAAGGCAACCCAGGCAGTGCACTATAACATTTAGTTCTCTCCTTTCGTTCTCTGCTTATCATGCAAAAAGGTGGGAAAAGCACTTCCTTGAGTGGGCTGATTCATTTTTCAGTAAACCTTGAAAGCCTACCAACAGCCAAGAACTATGCCAGGCTTGGAAATACACATGTGAGCAAGACATAGTCAAGTTGCTTACTTTCCACTGCAGAAGACAGAAAAACAATTAGGGTTTACTTTCAAAAACATAATCCCGATTAGGAGAGGTATCTCCTGAGAGCTAAAGAGAGATACCAAGCCAGTCTTGGGGCAGTCACAAAGGATAACCAAGAAAGTAAATATCCAGGCTGAAATTTGGCTTTAGTAAGGCTGTGGTGATTTAAAATGTGTCCACAAATTCTTTTGACATTCCCTTCAAGAGATGGAGTTTAATGTTCCTCCTTTGGGTGTAGGCTGGACTTACTGACTTGTTTCTAATTAAAAAATATGGCCAAACTGTTGATGTTTCACTTCCAAGACTAAGTCATAAAAGACAAGTGGCTTCTGCCTTGCTCCCTCTTGGACCACTTGTTTTGGGAGAAGTCAGCTGACATCTTGGGATATTCAGGCAACCATGTGGAGAGGCTCACATGGCAAGGAACTGACACCTTCACCAATAAAAGGCAAGGAACTGAAACCTGCTGCCGATAGCCATATGAGTGAGCCATCTTGGAAGTGAATTCTCCATCCCAAGGAAGCCTTCGGTGGACAATAGCTTGAGAGACCCTGAGCCAGAATCTCCTAGCTGAGCTCTCTCTAGGTTCCTGATCCACAGAAACTATGAGATAATACATATTTGTTATTTAAAGCTGCTAAGTTTGGTTAATTTGTTACTTAACAATAGATAAATAATATGCAACAAATGGGAGGGATTTTGTGAAAATGTTTTAGGTCGAGGGAAGAGCATGTGCTGAATCAGGAAGGGAGAACATGACATGTTTGAGGAAATGGAAGCACGTAATACTACTGGAGACTCAGTTTGGGGCAGAAGGGACTGGAGAGGGGCTAGTGAGGGTAAGCAGATCCTGAAGGGTCTTAGAAAACATGGAAAGGAGTTAAGAATTCTTCTTGTGGCCTGGAACCTTTACAAAAAAGCAAACTCAAAGGTATGGTATAATTGGCAGAAAGCGTAAGTTCTTTTTACTTTATTCTACTACTTTTTCTAATAACATAATTTTTTTTTGGCTAAAAGTCTTAATGAAATGTATAACCACTGTATAGGAACTCAGAAATGTAGAAGCCACAAATTACATGGGCCTTGAAAAGAGAAGGTTAATAACCAGTATAGCACATTGTTCTTTTGTCAGAGTTAGGAAGGGTAGTGTCCCATGGCTTCCTTTGGGAAACTCCTTTTGCAACCCTACATGTTCCATATTTCAATGAAGTGCTTGGTCCAAGGAAGAAGAAGGTGATGCTCTGGTGTAGATCCTGCTCTAGTTATCTTGGAATTGTTATGAATTATAATTGAAATGATATTTCCTTCTGGTAAGTAACTGCTTGTAATCCCAGGGACAGGGTGATCATCCAGTTGCTCTACATTTGGCTCATTTTATCATCATAGCTAAAGTGTACAGTGCTGTCACGAGATGCAAATACTGTTTGAAGTGATCATATGAATGGGCATTAGCCCTGCCCTTACCTAAAGCTCGTCTTCACATTTGTCTGGTCCACACTTTTTTTTTTCTTTTTAAAGATTTTATTTATTTATTTGACAGAGAGAGAAAGAGAGCACAAGCAGGGGAAGCAGCAGGCAGAAGGAGAGGGAGAAGCAGGCTCCTCACTGAACAGAGAGCCTGATGCAGGGCTCGATCCCAGGATCCTGGGATCATGACCTGAGCCGAAGGTAGCCGCTTAACCGACTAAGCCACCCAGGCGCCCCTGGTCCACACTTTTGTGCCATTAGGTTGGGACATCAGATGAGAACTCAGTTACTATTTTAGGTATGTGTTTTCTTCTGGCCATTTTTATCAAGAATATTTAATAGGTAGTGTATACTGGAAGTTCCCAACTCTAGTGCCACAAGCCCAGGCATTTAGTGTGTGTTAGTGAAAGCAGGTCAGGCAGTCAAGTTGGAAGGTGCATCCTGCATGCTAAAAGGCAAATGCTACTCAACTTTTGCCAGTTGTTGTCACCCAGAAAAGCAGGTCTTCAAACCCCAGAGCTTCCAATTTTTCTTCTCTCCTTTTCTTTTTTTTTTTTAAGATATTATTTATTTATTTATTTGACAGAGAGATAGAGAGCACAAGTAGGCAGAGGGAAAGGGAGAATCAGGCTCTCCGCTGAGCAGGGAGCCCAATGCAGGGCTCGATCCCAGGACCCCGGGATCATGACCTGAGCCGAAGGCAGCTGCTTAACCAACTGAGCCACCCAGGCACCCCTCTTCTCTCCTCTCCTTTTCTCTCCTCTCCTTTTCTCTCCTCTCCTCTCCTCTCCTCTCCTCTCCTCTTCTCTTCTCTTCTCTTCTCTTCTCTTCTCTTCTCTTCTCTTCTCTTCTCTTCTTCTCCTCTTCTCTTTTCCTCAGTAGCCTCCACACTGGGCTTGAACTCATGACCCTGAGATCAAGACCTGAACTGAGATCAAGAGTCAAGAGTCAGATGCTTAACCAACTAAGCCACCCAGGCGCCCCCCAGTTTTTCAATTCAAGCCAGCAGCCCAAATTTTTATGTGAAATTTCCTGCTTTTTAATTGCTTAAACTGAAAATTCAGTTCATCAAATTGCATGTTAGCAATAAACAAGCAGAGAATAAATTAAAACTATACACATACACACATGGGTTGGATGTAGCTCATGAGCTCCCGGTTTGCAGTCTCTAGTATAATTAATATAATAGCTCTGCCTCCTCAAAATTCATATTCAAAAAGCAGCCACAGTGTTCTGACTGAAACACAGTTCTGTCTGCAGTTCTTCATTCACTGATTTCCCCTTACTTAATTCTAAGCTTCCTTAAAAAGGATCTGGCCTTCGCTTCCTTCCCTAGCTTTTTATTCTACCATCATCTTAATTGTCAGCTGATCACACATCTTCTCTGTGTAAAACAATTCAGATTTATGAATTATTGTCTGAGAGCCCTACCTGGGTTAGTATTTGCCCAGGATTTTTCATTTAATTAAATAAGGTGTTATTACTAATAGTTGCATTCAAATAAGCAGGGATGGATTTATTCTATTTTATACTTCCAGCTTTTGTCATGTCTTAACCAGCTATGATGAGTTGCTTGTATATTAAAGACAGTTCTCTCTATAACACAACTATATCTGAAAGATTATCAATGATAACCATCTTCTTTTTTTGTTTGTTTGTTTCTGGCTTCAGATATGGTTTAATGTAGTTGTTCAAACAGAAGCTTTGAGGGTGATTGCTCTTCAACTCTGATTTCTTTTTTGCTGTGTTGACTTTCTCCTCAGCCTCTGCAAGAATCTAAGAGTTCCTCTCAGCTTTAAGACTAAGGGGAAAAAGAAGAGTATTTCTTCCTATTAACTCTTGCCGAGTCCTGGGACTGTAATTGGACCTTGTTGGGTAAACTACTGCCATCTGAACCAACAACTATGGCTTAGGGGAAGGAATGTGCAGCTGAGCCAGGCCTGTGTCACACATCCTGCTCCTGAGTGGAAGATGAAATCCAAAGGGAAATTTCGTGTACTATCACCAGTAAAAGGGGGTGAAAAATTCTGGGAGGCCAAAATGACAGATGTCCAGGACGACAGGTTTCTCTCCAGGGTGGACATGCTCATGATGACCTAGCTTGGAAGAAGTCCTAAAAGTTTTTTCATACTTGACACACTCATAGGGTTTCTCTGCAGTATGGTTTCTTTGATGCTGAAGAAAATTTCTTTTGCTAGTGAAGACTTTTCCACAGGCATCACATAAACAGGAAGACTCCTGAATATGGATCCTTAGATGCCTTTTAATTTGTTCCTGAGCACTAAAGCCTTTTCCACAATCTACACAGTCAAAGGGTTCCTCCTCACTGTGGACTCTCTGGTGCCGAGGTAGTTTTGTATGAAAATTGAAGGCCTGCCCACATATTTTACAAGAATAAGGCTTTTTCCCTGTGTGAATACGTTGATGTTGGCTAAGATGAGAAGTCCTTCCAAAGCTTTTGCCACACTCATTACATTCATAGGGTTTCTCTCCAGTGTGGATTTTCTGATGTCGAAGTAGTGGTGAATTACCAACAAAAGCTTTTCCACACTCATTACACTCATAAGGTTTCTCCCCAGTGTGGATTCTCTGATGTATAAACAACTATTTATATTATATTTATATTTATATTTGTATGTAACAAACCCGGAACTACTTGTAAAACTATTTCCACACTCTCCACAGAGATAAGGCCTGTCCCCACTGTGGATTCCCTGATGCCTGATCAGATTTGCATTATCATTAAAGGCTCTCCCACACTCTTCCATTGATAGGGCTTCTCTCCAGTGTGGATTCTCTGGTGCCGAATTAATGAAGAATTGTCATTAAAGGCTTTTCCATACTCATTACACTCAAAGGGTTTCTCCCCGGTGTGGATTCTCTGGTGTCTAACATAGTAAGAAAAATAACTGAAGCATTTCCCACACTCCTCACATCTGAAGGGTTTTCTTGCACAGTGGATTCTTGGAACCTTTCCTTTAATATTTTTCACTGTGGGGATTTCCTGGTGCTTTTCCAGTTCACAGGTTTCTAGAAAGTTGGCTCTCTGAACAACACCCTTCTGCAAACCATGTGGCAATATCACATCTCTTTCTTCAGAAATTCCCTGTGTTGATGTGGACTCATTGCCAACGTTGGTCTCAGTATCTTTACAGATGTCTTTGGATAACCGTCTTCTTTTGCCCAGGCCTTTCCAGACATGATATAACTATCATCTCCCTTTCAAAGACACAATGCAGAATATTTGTTAATAAACAAAAAAAGATGGCTAGGAATAGCTCAACATTTTGGGTCTTGGGGATAAAGGAAGAAGTACTTAATGTTGCCAACACGTGTACTGTCTTGGAAGCTGGTTAAACGCAGATATCTATATCAAGAATAATTATTCTGCTTATGTTATATTTGTAAGTTTCAGATAATCAAGGGTGGGTTTTTTGTTTGTTTTAATGTACATAGATATATTTTAACTTCTCAAAGAATTTTATTTTTTGAATATAATTATGGAAGACTTATGTTGCAACCCTAACAATATAATAATAATAATAATATAAATGTTTTAAATTATACAATTTTAATTATTCAAACATTCCTTTTTGCTTTCAAAACTATCCCACTTTGGACAATAAACTACATGGTCATCTCATTTAATTTTTTCTGCACTCCAGCCATTCAAAATGGCTGATAATCTGCTCAGTACACTGAACTGTTTCTCTAAGCTTTTCTCATGCAAGTTCCTCTATTTGGCATGACACCATTTCCACTTCCACACCATTTTTACCTCCTTCCTTTAAAGTTTAATTTACACTCAGCATTTAATAACTAATATGGATAAGTGTGTATGTGTGAATGTGGTAAAGAACAAATTTTACAAGTTTGAAGTGCTATTAATTAGTTAAATTTATGCTTAGTGTTTACTAAAGCAAAATTTAATTCAGGATCATGATCTTTAGAAAGCTTTGTATTATAAGAATCTGTGTAGGTGACTATTTTCCAACTTGATTTTAGCTTATTGATGGCTAACAACTTATATTTGTGTTCTCAGAGGCTAGCACAGTGCTGATATACAGTTGTTTAATAACCATCTATGATACAAAAGGAGAAGGAATAAATACATGAATATGGATAAAAAGAAGAATGTGGTCCAACTTCCTTGGTTCTTCATCAACCTCTTGGCTATTTTTCCCCAAAGTAGAAACAGAGGGCAATGGGTTTTATCCTGGTTTCACATGAGGATTTTTCACCACCCACATATGCTTATTTCTAGTATAATATGTATTCTCTGAGAGGAAGGGACACCAGTGATATCTACATTCCATAATAGTGCTGCTCTCAGTAATATCCTGCCATGTTTATTCTTCCTGTCCCCTCAGGATACAGTTCAGTTTCTTGGCTGTTATTCACTAGGGCTATGTTCCTTTCATTTGGTACTAGAGAGTAGAATGCAAGGTTTAATTTGCATTTTTCATTACTGGCTCAACTATATGGAACAAAAAAAAGATTTCTTTCTGACATCTCTCTTCAAGATAAGAAAATCAAAAGCTTGGGCTTCAGATGTAAAGTAGAAGGGAACAGAACAAAATTGTTTTGTCTTTGTCTGCAACATATGGAGGAATTGGTTCTGGTTTAATTCTGAAGAAAATAAGAACATTAGTCAGAGACAGTGCAATCGCAGCAGCGTTTCATGCCTCGGTTAAAAATACCACCATAATATGAGTTGCCAGTATTTTGCCGTCACTTGCCCTTGGAGCTCAAAAAAATGTGAGCACCAGCTCTTTGTATGAGAAATTTATAGTGGTGGTGAGGGAAGTTTCCAGTATATATCTCTCCAAGAGTTGTATGAAAGGTGCCCATATGTGCAGATTTGGTGGCACCTATCCAAAAGCTTGATGGGGAAAAAGAAATCATGTTGAATACATGTGTCAGTTAAATGGAAACTAAAACCTTCTCAAATCAAAGGAAAAGAGGCAAGTGCCTGACAAGAGGATATTAAAATCATCAGGCAGATTGTATGTCATTCTCTATAGGTCAGTAATTTTAGCTCTGTCAGGATCCACTGTATGCACAGATCCTGACCTTGATGGGAAGGGTGGGTGAGATCAATATTTATAATCATAGTGGGATCTCCGTGGAAATTCAAAGTGTCATCCCATCTCCTGGAATTATGAATGAGAAAAAAAAGTTAAGACATATCCAGATCTGATAGAGAAAATTTTAAATCATGCTATTAGAATATTAGAAATAGAGCAACAATATCAGTGTACTTAATACCATTGAATTGTACACTTTTAAAAAAGAGAAAATGTTAAAACTAGAATGGAAAACTTGGTATGTAGTACCAGCCCTTTATTTTATAGATGATGAAAAGGAGCTTTTTGAAGGTTAAATGTTCTTGGTAATAAGTCGTGGAGCTTGCCAGGGGTTTCATCCAGTGGTAGGGGAAATACTTCTCCACTGAAAAGTGTTTTGATTATATTCCACAAGCCATGTTTGTTCAAATCCTCATTTCAGATATATTGAGTGCATAGTATGTGCTGGGCACTGGACAGTGGTTGGATATGAATGAAATGCTGCCAGTTGTAATGGTTAGAAGCAATCACCTCTTCTGAAATTGATGGGAGCTCCTCAGAGCTCAAACACTAAAACATGTGCAGTGAAAACAGATAATTAAGATGGCATTTCAATCTAACTACTACTTTACTTTTTAGTAAGGAATGAGATTTTAGAAAACTTTAGTCATTATCTTTTGAATCTTTATAAGAAAACCTTGCAAAAGGGATAATGAGGTCCAAGTGAGATGGGAAGTAATTATAAAATTTTTTAAAAATAATTTATTAATTTATTTGAGAGAGAAAGAGAGAGAGCACAAGTGGGGTGGAAGGGCAAAGGGAGAAGGACAAGCAGACTCTCCCTGCTAAGCAGGGAGCTCGATGCAGAGTTTGATCCCAAGACCCTGGGACCATGACTTGAGCCAAAGATAGATGCTTAACAGACTGAGCCACTCAGGCACCCCTAAATGTTTTTGACATAAGTTGGATCTTATAAATATTAGAGCTATACGTATTTACTTATTCATTTTTTTGATGGGCATTTATTGAGGGTCTACTTTGTGCCAGACACTGCTTGAGATCTTAGACACATAGATGCATATATGTGAAAAAGATAAAGTCCTGTTCTTAAAGAACTCATAGCCAAGTCTGATGCATACAGGTGAAAGAACATAAAAAATTCTATATTACTCTATAAAGAATTTGTTTTGTTTGGGGTGCCTGGGTGGCTCAGTTTGGGGTGCCTGGTGGCTCAGTTAAGCGTCTGCCTTCAGCTCAGGTCATGATCCCGGGATCCTGGGATCAAGCCCCACATTGGGCTTACTGCTAAGCAGGAAGCCTGCTTCTCCCTCTCCCACTCCCCCTGCTTGTGTTCCTTCTCTCGCTGTGTCTCTGTCAAATAAATAAATAAAATCTTTATTCCTGTTGGGAAGAAATCCCAAAGTTAGTAATGCAGCTCTCAAGTCATTTTTAAATTGAAAGTGTCTATCTTGAGGTTTTCACACGGCTCACAGGTTAGAGTGAGGATCTTCTACGTGATTATTTTTTTCTTTTTTAGATATACCATTGTTCTCAGACATTTTCATTCAGATTTAATTGTCTGGGTGAGATCTAGACATTGGAATTCTTAAAAAAGTTTTCCCAGGTGATTCTGATATGCCAGTATTGAGAACTGCTGGTATAAATCATTGTTTCTCAAAGAGATTATACTCATTGTTAAGAACATTTTAGGTGGTGCTAAATCATTTTAAATTGTAATGGTTATGGTGTTTAAATGTATATCAGAAAAATATATAAGTAGTCCATGGATATTGTTATTTAGGACAAACAAAAGATTATAAAAAGTGAGTTAGTTCAAAATAGATTATCTATGTATCTATCAATATCTGTATCTATCTATGTCAATCTGTCTGTCTATCACCTGTAAGAAGAGTATAGTTGGCAAAGGTTGTGAAATTGCCAGTATTTTAATGATAGACTTTTAGGTAACCCTGAGCTGGATTATGAGATAAGAGAGGAAATATGGAGGACCAAGGAATTTGGAAGATAAAATAGTTTTTTCCTGATAAGATTGACGATGAGCTGGAAAGCAAATAGTTTAAGGACAAAGATCATATTTTCAAGTATTCTTTGCCAATTGTGCTTGGATCAAGATATTTAAAAATGAAAGGAGTATGTGGTAGAATTGATACTCTTTTGTGTAAACAAAGAAGCCTTTCTGATACTCTTGCCTTGTGTAGATGACCTACCCACGTCTCTAGATATGGACTGGATTGGGTTGACCATGAGATGACACTTCAGGCATTATTGTCACCTATGAGCATTGAAAGCATCCATAATGTTATAGAAAAGGAAACAAAGAGTAATCCCCAAGAAGTAAATGCTGCTTAAAATCAGTGTGGGTAAGCAGCTGTTTTCATTGGCTCCACAAGGTGTCCTGCTAGCTGCTCTAAGAGCTTGTCATATGGTGAGTACTTCTGTGAATACTGACAGGGAAATCAGTAATGGCAAGGAAATGAGTATTTGAGATCCCAAAAGGTAACTGTCATTGGTTCAACAGAAAAGTCAGAGTGACACAATAGTTTTATCTTCTGTGGCAAGTTCAACTGGCCAACAGTGACTGCTGGAAGAATGCATTGAGGAGCACTTTGAGGATGAGTGTGTCTCATGGAAAAGGATGTCATGATGTGTTAGCGAGACTGTCAAGGCAGCTGCATAGGGGAGTGGCAGTACCATGGTCATATCCTCTATTTCTGAAAATGGTTACTCTATTGTTTGACGACATAACATCCTGCATAATGATCTTAGTCAGGGTAAACTTGACAATTTAAAACTAATAAACTCTTCTGAAAGATGGTCAAGTTTCTCACTGCACCACATAAGACAGCATACATAATAGATGAGTGCTTTCTATTTCTGCTTTCATAGTGCATGAACTTCTGACTTTCAGTCTTGCACTTCGTTCTGTAAGTCAGTGTCTTCTTATTCCTTAATCTTTCTAGTTACTACATGAGACAAGTTTGGAAATCAAGTTGTTTTAAATAGCAGTCTTTATAGATAGCTGCCCCTCACCATTAATCTATAAATTAATATAACAATAAAGAGGTTAAGTGATCCACTTAAGTCTCTTAGCAGTGGGTATACAAATCTCAGCTGTCTTTCTTCTAAGGGAACTTGGGTACCTTGTTCTGGGAGGGAAGCCAGATATCATGGCTAAGTGACTCTGGATCCTATTGTTTAATCACAGGAGTTGTCTTGTTGCTGAGTATGTATTTTATGGTTATTAACTTTAGCTATCTTAAAGAGTTGACACCCAGGGAGAAATATGCTGGCATGAAAATATATACACATCTTTTTTCCATCAAGATATTTCTGTTAAGGAGACATCTCCTGATTGGAATTAATGTCCCAGTTATACTGGTATTCAAAAAGACATCATTTCTCCTCTCTCAATATCTCTTTCTCTCTCTTTTTTCACTCGTTCATTCAAAAATATGAATGCATTATGAGTCAGGTACTGTTTTAGACTCCAGCAATATAGCACTGAAGTTTTACCTCAAGGCTCATATATTCTTATTTCAAACAAACAAATTTAATTACACTAGAGAGTGATAAGTGAAATTATAGGAGAGCAAAGGGAACAATGGCAGCACATAGAAGATGTGGAAGGCGGGACACCAAAGAGGGCTTCCTAGAAGAAGTAATATTTTGGCTAAGTCCTGAAACCTAAAAAGAAGTAACCTGAGTGAAGTGAGAAGCTGAGGTATGAGCATGTGGAGGAAGAGGAGGGACAAAGATCCAAGACTAAGAAAGAGCATGTCACTCAAGGAAGTAAAAGTCTTCACTGTGATGGGAATATGGAAGTGGAATGGGGAGAATGTGATTGGAGATTACACCCAACACCACAAAATATAGTATTTTGAGGCCATTTTAAGAAGTATGAACCTTATCTTGAGAACAAAGAGGAGGTACTGAAGGCTTTAATTGGTCTGACATGATTAGATTTGCATTATAGAAAGATTTTGCTTCTTTTTCTTTCTTAACATATACATATATATGTATGTATTATGTATGTATGTATTATAGAACGTATCAAGATAGACTGAACTTCTTCAGGTGCTTGTACTGTGGGAAAGATTGGAAACAGTTCCATAAACCCTAGCAGAAGATATATAAATTATAAGTTGGGTACATGACACCCAAAGCGCAATGAATGTGACAATGGTCTTGTGACAACTTTGTTCAGAAAATACTGCTGATTTATTCCCCTCTGTGGTGATATCATGGACATCTCTCCCTTATTTGTAAGATCTGTTGCTGAATGGACAAAGAAAAGGAGTCACTCTGCCTCCCCTTGATTAATTGTGTCTCTTAATTGTAAGTAACAGAAATCAAACTTAACCTAGCTTAGGCAGGAATGGGAACTTACTAGTTTATCTGTTGGAGGGGCTGGAGTGATTGAAAGCAGAGATTCAACCCATCTTCCTATTTGTTGACTTTATATCTCAAGCCCTGTTATCCATGAGGAAGGAGACAGATGGCTGGCTTTTCTGATGTCTTGGATTAGATTCTCTAGAAGCAGACTTCCTGAGAGGATTTATTAGAACGTGTCTCTGGAAAAAATCTCATAAGAGCATGGAGACAAATAGACTCAAGAAAATTATAAGAAAAAAGCTGTCCTGAAGTAAGTTGGAGAACATATATTTTTGTGGCAAAATTTCCTGAAATTGTGGTATTTTTTTCTTCCAAATTTCCCGGCATCCCAGGTCTAGGAATGAGAGAGCAGGTACAGGGACTGACCCAGAGTTTGTGTTTGTTAAGTAGGTGTGATGGGAGAAAAGAGGTGTTTGGAAAATGAGGATGTTGATGGATATCATGCAAATAGAGGGAAAGAAAGACAGCTGGATGCTGTTGGGGGAAAATACAAGAACAAGGGGAACTCTCTGAGGAATTAAAGGTGTGGGGAGCTGAAAAGAAAGGGTGTTTATATTAGGTTCCTATTGACTGCCTCAAAATTAGTGGATTAAAACAATAGAAATTTATTCTCTTATAGTTCTTAAGGTCAGAAGTCAGAAATGAATTTTATGTGGCTAAAATCAAGGTGTCTCCGGGACTGATTTCTTCTGGAGGACCCATGGGTGAATCCATTCTTGCCTCTTCCAACTTCTGGTGGATGTTGGCATTCCTTGGCTTGTGGCTACATCATTCCAGTTTTTGCTTCTATCATCACATTGTTGTCTCCACCTCTGTGGTATCATCTCCCTCTGTCTCCATCTTTAAAGGACACTTGTGATTACCTCATTGGTTCCACCTGGATTACATTACATCGGCAACATTCTTTTTACTGTATAAGTTAATATATTTACAGGGTCCAGGGTTGGCATGGACATGTTGGAGAGGGGCTTTTTTCAACCTAACCACAACATTGAATTCAGATTGTAGATTGTTTATGTTCCAGTTTTCATCAGTGGAACAGTTCCCAGTGAAAAAATATTAGAATCGAAGTATAGACATGAGTGGGTATGAATGAAGATCATTAAGTCAGTCCAGAAAGTAAAAAACTAGGGCATTGGATGAGCCATTCTCTTGAACACTGGAACCATCAGGGTATAGACTGGACTTGGGATGCCTTGGGACAGTGGTTGAGTAACTTGCTGTAAGTCACACAGTTTGTAGGGGCTAGAAGTATGCTTCTTTATTACTTTTACCAAATATTGAACATTTAGTTCTGGGACACTTATTAAAGAAGAGAAGACAAGGAGAAAGAGGAAGTCTGGGGCACCTGGGTGGCTCAGTCAGTTAAGTGTCTGCCTTTGGCTTAGGTCAGAATCCCAGGGTCCTGGGATCGAGTCCCACATTGGGCTCCCTGTTCAGTGGGGAGTCTGCTTCTCCCTCTCCCTCTGCCTCTCTACCCCCCATCATGTGCTCTCTCTCTGCTCTCTCTTCTCTCTTTCAAATAAATACAATCTTTAAAACAAAAGGAAGAAAGAGGAAGTCCATTTTCTCTCTGTTCCAGGGCAAGTTTGATTGTATTCTCCATTTGCACCTCTTTTTTTCATTCCAGCTCTCCCTCTGACCCTCACAGCACAATGCTACCAGATCTATTCTGAGCCCTTCTCTGCTTTCTCAGCACCCAAGGATATTTACTTCTATGAACAGGATCTTCCAGGGTCTCCTGCCCTCTCATTTCCAGTTGGGTTTACTACAGGGGAACCTCCAGCAGGGGATCAGAAAGGAGTATTGGTGTAATTATGTACCCACCCCCCACTCCAGCCCTGACTACTATGGCCCTGGCAGTGACCGAATATCTCTATGGGCAAAGCTCCTGTGTGGTGGACTCTTTCCCAGCTCCAGGTCTTTCTGTCCTTTGGTGACTCTGTTCCCTCTCTTTGCCCCACCAGACTCAGTTTCCTGCTGTTGCTAGATTCTGGGTGCTTCATTATCCTGTTCATTCCTTGACTCTGTGGAACTCTCTGTAAATATTCTCCCTTGAATGATTTTCAGTTAAGCCCTTTTGACTGTTTGGTCTTTTTCTTCCTGAGACTTTGGTATTATAGGGCATCATTCCAGCTCTTCAAAGTATTTTCCTAAGTTATCATTATAATTTGGCATTTTTTCAGAAATCCGTTGGGCTTCCACTATTTTTTGTTGTGTGGTAAAACAAGGAAACAAACAAGTCAACAAACCTGCTTCAATTTTTTTACCCACTCTTGGTAATGTTTTCTGTGACTTGTATCATTTTAGCTTGTTTTCAGTTGTGAGTAATAGAAAGCATTACCAAGAGTGAGTAAACAAATTGGAGTTTGTTTTTATACAAAAGAAACTTGTTACATAACAAGGAGAATGAATATAATCCGGTGCTGACATTGTTTCAGTGCCACAATATTGTCAAAGCTTTGGCTCTCACCTTCATAATTCTTTGGTATTTCCCTCTTGCGTACTAGATGGCTGCTAGAGCTTACTACCTGCACTCCAGGCAGGAACCAGAGGGAAAGATGGCCAGAACCCACATTTATACCATTACATGTTCAGACAAATAATCCTTCTGAGAAGGATCCTCTTTCTCCAGAATATATCTGCTTATGCCTTATTTATCAGAATTGGCTTGCAGAGCCACTGCTAGATGCCAAGAAGACAGGAAAAGCAATAAAATTCAACTTTTCCTACAAAGGAGATGCACAAAGGAAAAGAAGATTGGAAATAGATGTTAATTAAGTGTGGATGTCTTCTATACTCTCTATATAACCCTAGCAAAGCCTTTAAGAGCATGTGTTATGAAGTCAGAGTGCTGAGTTCCAACACTAGGTCCACCACATTCTATCTGTGTGAATTTGGGAAACAACTTAATCTCCCATTGCTTCAGGTTCTTCACCTGCAAGTGAGGATGATAAAAATATTTCTCTCATAGGGTTACTATGATGACCAAATGAGTTAGTGCAGCATTTAGAACAGTACCTGACACATGGCAGGCACTATTTGAGTTTTATCTGATTTTTTGTGGTTTCTACAAAACCCTCAAAAAGGTGACTACAGGAAATAGAAAAAGTAAGGGCAAATAAAAAGTAACAAGGGCGAAGCTTGGCCAAATTGTGAAATTAAAAAGATTATCTCCTCCCTCCTTAATTTTCCCTTTCATCCCTATCCATTTCCTTCCCAGGCTTATATTGCCACCCAGATATCCCTCACCCTCATGTCATGGAGAACTTGCTGCTATAACACTCCACATGCATTCACAATGTACCAAACAGTCAATCAGTCACATGTATTTTTTATGCCCTTACGATG